TATATGAACAGCACTACGGACATCACGTTATCATGTCACACCCGTGATACAACTCGTGCGTTATCATTCCAGAACACTAATAAATCACGCCTCTTATCCTGTAATTTCACTGCCTAATCTGCACCCTACAACCGAAACACAGCTAACAAAGCAAATTACTTAGCAACTAACATAGGTGAGAATAAATGAAAGATATAGGCAATTTTTTGCAGTTTGAATACATCTGGTTCAAATGTTGGTGTATATATGTGCTTTCAGACAAATTAACAGTATTCCCGCAAATAGTTTTAACACATCTGATAAATTTATCTATTTTTTAAATTATTATGTAAGAATTAAGAGTAAGTAATGTAAACTTTCATGTAATAAAATAAATAGTTTAAATGTAGCTTAATTTTAATGCTATTTTCATAATTATAATTGGCGTCAATATTGACACAACTGACTGATATTTTTATTCACAACTAAAGTAAACAGACATGGCTGTATGGGCGCAGTTCCCTATGCCTTTCTTTTAAAGGATAAACAAAAGATAAAAAAAATGATACAACTGACATTTGCTTAGATTTATGTTAACTAACTCACAGCCATTGTAATTTACTTTAAATTAGTATTTTACATTCAATCCACTTATTTTTTGCTTTTTTATTATTTTATTGGGAATGGAAACCTACGTGTACACTTTTAAATATGGACATCACGTTATCATGTATTTATGTGATGCCCGTGATAACTATTATGTGTTGGTGATCTGGAGGACTAAGATATGATACTTCCGTGTCCAGTATTTAACGATTTCGCAATGGTAACTTTGAAAAAAAAAAACCTCTTTAGATTATGACTACGTAATGGACAAATTCATATTATTCTTTTTGTCTCATATTTTTTTTTTAATAATATTTCTACTTTTTAGCATACATTTACAATGAAAGTGCGAAAATCCATATTGTATTTTATGTTTCCGATTTTTTAGGCAATATTTTAACTTCAAGTTTCATGTTTTTATACACATTACATTCCCTACAAGAAAAATCTTTTCCTAACAAAAACAAAGAAAAAGTAGCAAAATCGGTGCAACCATACCAGTGATATAAACTTAAGACAATTGTAACTTTTTTATAATCAAATGAAATATAGCTTAATAAACTTGGTCTTGCGATAATAAAAGAATTAATACTAAAAGAGTCACAGAGCTCAATGGGTAACTTACTTTTAAAAATTTATTATCTAAAATTACTTTACTTAAATTAATTCCTTGTTTCATTAATTAATTCGTTAAATAATTAACATTATGTATATATTTACAAAGAAAGCATTTCTATCTGTTGATTAGTGTCCATAGCACAAGCTCTGTTTAGTTTGGGACTAGATGGCACTGTGAATGAATGATCAAATTATCTGGGTTATTATTACATTATCATAGACAATATTGTTGTGGGAACCCATTACACTATATGATTACAGAAGAGGGAGAGGGGATTAGCTTTTTTTTATACTACTATGATGGCAAACAAGCATACGGCTCATCTGATGGTAAATGGTTACAATGGACGCCTGAAACATCAGGGGTATTACGTGCGCGTTGCCGACCCTTAAGAAACCTTAATGTACCCTTTCTGAAAAACCCTATCGGTGTAATGAATACTATTGATCCCAATGCATCCCATCAGGTCACTATCGCTCTACAAACCATGTTATTTCCTGGTAAACTCTTCACAATATGATAACAACTGTGTATATATGATAACTAGTGACTGACTTCACCCTCATCCTATCCCATACTCATACGCATACATACGCATCATAAAAAGTGCAAGGTCTGCTTAGTTTGGAACTAGATGGCGCTGTTAATATGATCAAGATAAAATTATGTAATATGACCAAATAATATAATTCATTTACAATTTGATTAAAAAGTAAATATGTTACATTTGTTACATATTAAAAAGTTTAAATATACCGGCAAATCAGCTTGATGACGTTTTTGCGTTTGTAGTAGTGCAAAGTGTAGTTATACGCACACATAAGTTTCTTGCTCGTTTATGTGAAGAGCTTGCATTCCGAATGAGTATTCCGGAAGAATATATTTCGTTTATTTGAATAAAGATTATTTTTATTTCACAAAAACCGGTATAAACAGGTTTGCACTAACACATGTACTGAACTCCCGCGTCACTTGCTTGTAAGTATCATTAGAAATGCCATTTCGTTATTTATTACTTTCTGTTTAATTAGTACAGTGTTTTTATTAATAAAGATAATCCGAGTTCAAAAATTACATATAATATTTACTCATATAACTTTAATGCACGTTATAAAGGTAAATAGAACATATGGCGGACTTAACATGTTGTCGCATTTCTACCAGTCAACCATAAATGGTGCAGAGATTATACGTACCTGTAGATATCAATTAAATTATATATATGAGATATATATTTATGTACTGACCGTACACTACTATCAACTTAAAAACGCTTTGAATTAATTTACCTATACAGTTATATTGTGTACAGACTATATAATTTAAAAACCGTATCGTTCGCTCATATATCTTTTTAAAAAACCAAAATTTAAACTTCGAACTCACATGCTTATCTTTTTAAAATAATAATGGTCTTTGAGAGATAATTTAAACACCAATTAATAAGTTTTAATATCACATATTTAATAATAAAAAATAAAACATTAAATTAACAAAGTACAGTCACGTCGGCATCGGCGTGTAACAGTGGTCACACATTCAGTTCAGTGGAACGATTGGATTATGCGACTCCAGTTTTATTTGAGAGAAATTATGACCATCTTCAAGTTACGAATAAAACTAAAACTATTAAGTGCCATGAATTTTATGATTGTTTTAATTCCTCCCCCCGTACTTGTCAATGTATATTTTAGCGAAATTATTGCTATCCTCAGTTCATCATCCTCTAATAAAACCAAATCGATTTCACATGAATTTTAAGATGACTTCCCCGACCTTGACACAAGCTTCATCACATTTGTGAGGCTATGTGCTATTTTAACCTAGTAAACCTAGTGTAAAATCATAACCAAAATAATATATAAAAATATATTTAAGTTTGACGTTAATATAATTAGAGTGAAACAATGGATCCACAACTAAAGAGATTGAAAATCGTTGAAAATGGCAAGAGCTCCACCAACAAGAGCTCGGTTCTTGAATGTATGAATGTATAAATATTGTTACTAGATTTTACATGTGACGTCACGAAATTGTGACACCTACCATCCCAGTCAGCCCCTCAACGTATGACGTAATTTAACGATGACTCCTAGTGGAATGGTACACCTTCCTATACTAACGGTATACGCTGACGGCGTACCAGCGAGGGATTATAGGATAAGCAAGGTTTCAAGGCTGTTAGTCTACTACCGTAATCAATTTACTTAGAATTAACTATGATGACTCCTAGAGCGGAATGACCTGACATGGTACATTATTATTCCCCATCAATCAACCACACACACCTTTTCATCTGATTGGCGCAATTGGTGGCTACGCCCCGCCCTCTTTGGAAACGCGTCAATCAGATCGCAGCCGCAACCTACAATCGTCCATCTGAACCGTACAATGTGTGACCGCACTAGTTGTATCGTTATATTTACATATGTTACACATATAAAGCGCGCCATTTTGCACTGAATAATAACAGTTCCGTGTCGGACACCGCCCAAACAATTTTCAGAAGCGTATTTATAAATTCGTAACCATCGTTTTTTACTGATTGACATGCGATTACACGAACAATTTCTATATCTATCTATCTTCAAGACAGATCCATAAAAGGATAAACAGAGTGCTGAAATTTCTAATAATAATTAAGCAAATACTATTAACTAAATGTGAAAGCTTGTATGTTTTTTACTTAAAAACGGCTAAACAGATGTGTATAAAATTTTAAACACTATCATTTGGAATTTAACAATATTTTTATGTTGTTTTTATTGTAACTATGGGCAAAGACGCTGATAGGAGTTAGTAATGCACTAACTAAATGCAATATATTTTGAAACTTTATACATATAATAGCTAGATAAAATTGTTCGCATGTTCGCTTATCAATTAGAATAAACTTCAAAAATATTGCGACGAAGCAAATAGAATTGTACCATTAAAATAATATACATATAACAATAATTACGACATTGATCAGCTGATATCCATAAACAACTGTCTTTTCACTACCGTTCTCCACCATATCACCAAGAATTAAAAATCCATAGACAAATATTGAAAAGAAGTAACTTTTATTTTTTATTAATTCCGTGGCCATTAGAAATCAGCTTAAAAAGTAATACACCATAAACAATGGAATTGTATTTTTAATTGATTTGAAAAAAAAATTGTTATTTTTTGTATTCCAAATCATATTTCATTATACGCAAAGTAGTTTACTTGCATAAATCTACTTTCTAGCCGTACAGGCACATAGTCCGTTCCCCAAAATGTAGGACATGTCTAAGCTGTATGCATAAAACACCTCAGCCCTAGTAACGGACAAAAAAAATTATTCCTTGGCGGTGGATTACGTCAGTTTTGGCTAGAACACCAAAATAGGTAGAACTTTATCGACTACGCGCTCTAAATCGATCGGTGCTTCAACGTTCCTCTTCAAATCGGTGGGCGACTCTTTAGTGCTGGCAGATTTGAAATCCGCCTTAACGTTCGCTAAAAGACTGTCGTGATCATTGCATTCCGTGCTCGCGTGTACGTCCGCCGAGCTACCGACGTTCCGTTCGACGTCTATCGAACGTACAGACTCTGTATTTACATTAACATCGTTGAGATCCGCAATCTGATGACTGTCTACATAACTAACATCCGCGAGCGCGTCGGCCTCGACATCGAAAGCTGTCACAGGGGGGTGCGTGTTACCGTGCGGTGGCGCGTGGGGCGCGCGTGGCGAGCGTGGCGGGCGTGGCGGGCGTGGCGAGCGTGGCGGGCGTGACGGGCGTGGCGGCGGCGGGGGCGCCTGTCACGTGACCTCCATGGGCAGCGAGTCGGCCGGGCGGCGGCGCACGGCCCCGTTGGTGGCGGCGTCCTCGTCCTGCAGGGCTCGCTCCGCGGACATGCCCGCGCCGCTCGACGACGTCGCGCCCGCACTCGACGCCTCCACTATTTCACTAAACAAATACAATATACTTTAGATAGAATATACTTTATTTGCAACATACTGTAAAGAAGAGGCACAAACAATATATCAAAGAACACTGTTGAAATCAAATATTTAACAATCTAATTATAATACAATTCTATTCTGATTTACTGACTATTTGCATTTGTCACTTTTATTCTCCCAAATTAAAAATAAATCTGTATTATTGTACATGTACAACATTTATTTGAAAAGAATACGAACTGAGTTTCTTTTCATTTCGTCTCGTCTCGAAATCATTCTGAACTGATAAGTCTGCAATAGACCTACATGAATTAGAAAATTTAAAATTTGAATTCTATCTTTTTGCGTATTCATTCTTTATTGTATGGAAAGGCACTTTTTCACGGCGTAATTTTCTGATTTACGCAGACTACGTCCATACCACCCAAGTCTACATTCTCTATTATAGTGTATGTGGTCCGAATGAAACGATATAAGTATAGGAGACTGACGCGAGCGGGACGGGCCTGGGCTGCGGCACGAGGCGGGCCTGGCGCGCCTTGAGCTGCGCGGCGGTGAAGGCGATGGCCTGCACGTTGGCCGACAGCGGCTGCCCGCCGGGGCCCGAGATGGCGATCTTGGGCCCGCGCGGCAGCACCGTCGTCTTCTGCAGCAGGTTCGCGACCACCGCGTTCGGGACCCTGCTGGTATAGTAATATAGCTCATTATTACTCATTATTCAAATCACTATGTTAATTTCAATTCAAGTTTGTTCAAATATATGGATTCTAAATTGTCTACAACTGAACCGAACGTCAACTTTTTTCAAACATTAATAATAATAATAATCTACTACTAGAAAGCAACATTTTGGTAGCTTTTCTTATATAAATATATGACAAAAAAAACTGTACATAAACATTAAAAATAATAATAATGGGAAAGAATGCTTTCTCTTATGACAATAAAAAAATACCGACATAACCGAATAAAAGAAAATTATTTGTATAATGTATAAAAAGTTTTATTATTATATATGTATTATTATATTATTATAGTATCTTAAAAGCCCTATACTGTAATCTCTTGAGAAAACCTCAGCAGGTACTTCATTCTACAATCACGTTACATAATACGTACTACAATCTACGATATAACAAAAGACTGGAAAAACTATAAACAAAATATTCGACGTTCACGCGCGGCTAAAATCCCCTCCACGAGCAAATATTTAGATTGGTCCACGTACCTGGCATCGGCGAGGTGCAGCGGCCTCGTCTTGAGGTGTATGTGGTGCGTGGGCGCGCGCACTGCGGGCGCGGCGGGCGCGGCGTGGGGCGCGGCGTGGGGCGCGGCGGGGAGGGGCGCGGCGGGGAGGGGCGCGGCCCGCACGAGCGCGCGTCCGTCGAGCCCCACGGACACGCGGTGCGCGGCCGCCGGCGCCGCGCCCGCCGCGCGCCGCTTGCCGCCCGCCTGCCGCACCACGTTCACCAGGTGCGGGCCCTTCGCCAGCTGACCGCCCTGCACGTGACACACGCACTGTACTCACACGACTTATATGTATTGCGAAGATACACAATGTTTAATAGAATATTAATTTAAACAGTTTTATACATATGAATGCTGCAGCAGGATATATGAGACAGCGGAGTCAGCGATCACAACAGCGGTGCGCGCTGCGACTGTATACCGTCACCTCCTGCTTTATCCCGGAAAAATTGCGCATCAGAGCACCGTCTCGAGCACCGCAGGGCGACGCGAGACGGCACGGGGTGACCGCACACCAGCGAGCTGGGCCAATAGAACCTCCGAGATCAATGGGGCCAGCGACACACTGCCACTGATCGTTCCTACCGTCGACAACTGCGCGCTGTTACTGTACACCGTCACGATTCACCTTGATCAGGCATACTCCAGCAAGACCAGCGGGATAAGAGGGCCAACGACATGCCGCCGCTGCCTGCCTTCCTGCGTCTGTATACCGTCACGACTCACCTAAATCTCGAAGAACTACGCAATGGAGCCTGGCGCGACCTTGAACAGCACGGAGTGACGAGTGTCCCGCCAGCGGGGCCAGCGGGGCCAACGCGTTACGACCGTGTACCATCACCACTCACCTTGATCTCAAAGAACTGTGCGACGGAGCCGGGCGCGGCCTTAAGCAGCGCGGGGTGGCGCGCGTCCGCCAGCGGGGCCAGCGGGGCCAGTGGGGCCAGCAGGGCCAACGCGTTACAACCGTGTACCATCACCACTCACCTTGATCTCAAAGAACTGTGCGACGGAGCCGGGCGCGGCCTTAAGCAGCGCGGGGTGGCGCGCGTCCGCCAGCGGGGCCAGCGGGGCTAGCGGGGCCAGCGGGGCCAGCGGGGCCAGTGGGGCCAGCGACACGCCGCCGCTGCCCGCCGCGCCCGCCCGCGCCGCCAGCAGCTGCGCGCGCTGCGACTGCGTCAGCGGGTGCGCGTGCAACACCTGTACACACGAATAGAATTAATACATGTGGTATTACCGATTCTGTTAACAAAATGGCTGAAAAGAATTTATCAGGCCGCAAAAATATTTAATAAAAAAAAGTTCTTAACAGAGTAGTCATTGAGGCAATATATATATTTACAAATACCTAAATAAATTAATTAGAAATTTTAGATTATTGCTATGTAGGTACTGTCCTATATTTTTAAGCTTAAATTTATGATCAATTGTAAACGCTTAAAGTGTATATAATTTTTTTTTAAGTGTGACCTTGAGTTTGTTGGGCGCGACGTGGTGTATGGTGTGGCCCTGCGCGACGACGAGCGGCGCCGAGTGCTGCGGCGAGTGCAGCTGCAGCGGCTTGTGTGCGAGCTGCACTAGCGGCGCGCTGCGTCGCTGTGACCCCGCCGCCACGCTCGCCACGCTCGTCACGCTCGCCACGCTGCCTACCGCGCTCACGCCCGCCACCGATAGTTTCACTGTAGGACAGGGAATATGTATTTTTATTATTGCGTCACACTCGCCACGCCGCCCACGTTCGCCACACTACCCACTGCGCTATCGCCCACATATGTTTTTATTCTCTAAAGCACGTTTAAGATTAATAAATTATCAACAGCTCCATAGTCGGTGTCAGCCATTTTGCACTGATTGAAGAACGAGGATTTGCTGGAAACATCAGCGCGTGCGAACGAGAAAGATTCGTTCTCTTTGTCTACATTTACATACATATTCTTTCTGGTGTGAAATTCAATTCTCTATTTTCTTTTTGTGTTGTGAAATTTTTTATTTTATAAACTACTATGCTTATTACTAAATTGTGCTAATTCACCAAGGTAGTCAGAAATAGTTTTGTCATCACATCAGGCTTACACATGCCGCTACTGTAGAAAAAGTTTATCTTTATCCATTAATACGACATGACTCGCAACTTCTTTCCCAATATTATCTGTAGGATGGTAGTATAATATTAGTAGGTTGGTACTAACCGGGTTCGGTCCGGTCGGTCCGGTCGACCCTGTCCCGCTGGAGAGGCAGCGCGACGGCCACCGAAGGGAACGGTCCGTTCTGTACCAGCACGCCGGCCTGACTCGACAGCAGATGGTTCTGTAGCCGCACCTGTACATACACACACAATTTACCGACTTCTTGTACATGATTAAACTAAACATTATTATTATTATACATATATAAATTTATATCTAGTTTGGCTCGCGATTATACACCCGAGTGAAATTTATAGCTATTGTTGTTATTCTGTACCTACGTTACTGTGCCTACGTTCAGCAGTTTTTGTCTTCTTTCCATCCATACTCACAAACTTTCGCGTTTATAATATAAGTAATAGTAAGAGAATTATTTATTTATTTGCCTGTTATGACACAATTTTGGATTTCACTCACGGCTGCATTACAAAATATGGAATTTATTGGCTTGTTCTATACAACACGCATTTATTATACATATATAAACCTTCCTCTTGAATCACTCTATCTATTACTAAAACTGCATTAATATCCGTTGTGTAATTTAAAAATATATAAGGGAACAGACAACCGCGAATATATATAATAAATGTGTTATACTATATAAGATTATAACCGTTTATAAAATAAATCCACTCACCTTCAAACTATCAGAGACGGCGACTGTCACAATTTGGGGTTGCGCCGTTTCCTGTACTAACGAGACTTCATTCGGTCTCCTATGTGCCACCGATGTTATTATATGCTTCTTCAACGGGGAATGCTTCGTTTGTACCGTCTTCAGCTGCACACCGGGAGCCAACTGCACCTCTTCTAACGTCTCCTCCTTCCTCTTCTTCTCCACTTTAATTTGAGGCACTTCATTCACTTCTTCAACAATAATCTTGGACGTTGGTACTGGAGATGGTTCCACCTTCTCCGCTTTGATATCTTTGGGCGTCTCAACAACTTTAGGCGTTTCCGTATCGATGTATATGGTTTCTTTATCCGCGCTGACGTGGACCACACTCGAGCCGAAGGAATCCGCCTTCCTCCTCTTTGGGCCAGAGACGGCGCGCCCTTCCGTGCTCTGGCCTTGCAATAAAAAAGAACCCTTGTCGACATCATTCACTAAATCCAATATATCCTCTGTGATCTTCTTGTCGTCTTTCGTCAAGTCATCAGCCAAGGTTTTGAGGTCTGTCTCTGATAGGATGCTTTCAACTTGGGCCTCTGTTAATCCAGTAAAGTTTTCTGGTAGCAGATCATCACTTATGTCCAAACTGCTGCCACTAGTGTCTTCCGGATTTATATCACCGTACAGTTCACCAAGAGTGAACTGTGAGGTTGTAAATGTATCTAGAGCTTCCGAAGGTGGTTTCTCTGCGGATCGTAATTCCACGGAGATGAGGGTATCGGGGGCGATGGGAAACTGATCTTCCGCCGGGGCTTCTGGCTCAGGTGGTGTGGGCGAAGGTGTTTTTGGTCGGAAATGTAACCTATAAAAGAGACACATTCACATTTTGACATACATATCATTTTTTGAACCAAAAATCTTTCTCTGCCATTTACAATGATCCGAATGATCGGTAAAAGATAAAAATCTTTGTACCAATCATTCGGTTAGTTACCACTTCTTGTGAAAAAATAGCAAGAAACTGAGCTGGCATATTTTATTTCTTCACAAGATAAATATGATCTGAAATATTGGGGATTATTCATAACTGTGATATGAGTGTAATGAATGGTCAATACTGAAAATATCACCACCATTGGTGCCCCTGATAATTATGAGATAAGAGCATAACCAAGAGCACATAATAAAATATACCTTACATATTTTTTAATGGAAACTGGCATCTATTCCGAAAATGATACAACAGAATAACCTACAGCCATAGAAAATGCCATTCAATTACTTTACTGCAACTATAATATATAAACACTGCTATGGACATTGTATAAGTTTGTTAATTTATATAGACACTTTAGTACTCGAGCTAAATACTAGATGGCGCTGTGTTAAAAGTAGACGGCGATATGGTTTCGTTGTATACATATACTTTGTATATATATTCGCCATTTTGTAAAAATAAACCATTTTTTTAAGTTCAACAATCCAACATAGCTGGTTGTTTTATTTATTATCACCAGAGGACGCTGTAGTAGTCCAAGAGTTTTAGGGTTGGGTTGTACAGACATGATATTATAATATGAGACTCCCAACACCACTAATGCACAACCATTCAAAAGACAAAAAATGTAAGCCCTGTAATTTCACTGCTTTATCTCATTATTCAACCGAAACCCTTGTTATAAAGCTGCTTGGCGGCTGAAATACATGAGACAGAAGTATCTACACGATTTCATACAATATCTACTATCATAAAATACATCAAGCCTTAAAGCGTTTTAAATAACATTTACAGAAAGTTGTGATTACTCACCATTTCTTATTAACCTCGTTGATAAAATTCTCAAACTCCTTCTCGACCGGATGCAGACTCTCATCCGATTCGTAACTGCTGTCACTGCAGCCGCTCCACGATCTCTTCCTGATCACCCGCTGCAGATTTTGCCTTACAACACTATCAATAGTTCTTGCACTAACACTAATATCACTTTTTACACTATCCTGAGGTATAACGTCCGGTAACACGTCCATTGGTTCCTCTTTGACTTTGACGTTACCCGCATGGACTCTGACGTCATCCGCGTGGACTTTGACATCATCCGCGTGGACTTTGACGTCATCCGTGTGGATCTTGACGTCATCCGCGTGGACTTTGACGTTCTCGACATCGGCCGTCTCGTCTTGCACGATCCACAGGTCAGGCTTTTGAGCGAGATGCTGCCGGAACGCGCGCCGCCACGGATACTTGCCACCCGCGTGGTAGTCTTGTGTAAATTCTGTGGGAGTTCGATGTGACTTCTTCTCCAACTCCTCCTGTGAGTAATTAAAAAAAGTATTTGTAAGATTCATCTTGAAATATATTTTTATATATCACTCACGTATTTTCATTCCAGAGGACTAAGATTTCAGGCCTCTTATTCTGTATTATTTTGCCAGCCGCGGCCACAGGTCGTCGAGCGGCGTGCGGGTGCGGTCGAGACATACGTACTGGTGCGTGTATAGTTACCGGGCGCGTGTGGGGTGCGGCGGGGGCGGGGGGGGCCAGCCGCGGCCACAGGTCGTCGAGCGGCGTGCGGGTGCGGTCGAGACATACGTACTAGTGCGTGTATAGTTACCGGGCGCGTGTGGGGTGCGGCGGGGGGGGGGGGGGGGCCAGCCGCGGCCACAGGTCGTCGAGCGGCGTGCGGGTGCGGTCGAGACATACGTACTAGTGCGTGTATAGTTACCGGGCGCGTGTGGGGTGCGGCGGGGGCGGGGGGGGCCAGCCGCGGCCACAGGTCGTCGAGCGGCGTGCGGGTGCGGTCGAGACATACGTACTAGTGCGTGTATAGTTACCGGGCGCGTGTGGGGTGCGGCGGGGGCGGGGGGGGCCAGCCGCGGCCACAGGTCGTCGAGCGGCGTGCGGGTGCGGTCGAGACATACGTACTAGTGCGTGTATAGTTACCGGGCGCGTGTGGGGTGCGGCGGGGGCGGGGGGGGCCAGCCGCGGCCACAGGTCGTCGAGCGGCGTGCGGGTGCGGTCGAGACATACGTACTAGTGCGTGTATAGTTACCGGGCGCGTGTGGGGTGCGGCGGGGGCGGGGGGGGCCAGCCGCGGCCACAGGTCGTCGAGCGGCGTGCGGGTGCGGTCGAGACATACGTACTAGTGCGTGTATAGTTACCGGGCGCGTGTGGGGTGCGGCGGGGGCGGGGGGGGCCAGCCGCGGCCACAGGTCGTCGAGCGGCGTGCGGGTGCGGTCGAGCGCGACTCGTCCGCCGCGCGCCACCCTGCGCCGCACGAACCCCACGCAGCGCCGCCCGCCGCCCCACTCCCGCACCGACGTCAGCGTGAACCTGCACCGACACCCTCCACGTTACACATGTCACATCGCGCACCGACGACAGCGTCAACACAATCGACATTACAAGCGCTACCATCATATCCATTATTACTATACTATCGTTACTGAACGACTCTATCGGTTGTTAATAATATAATGAAAATTAATTCATGAATTCAAATATTTGTATTACGTGATTACCAAACCCGCGACCATTGAAAGTAAAGCGGAGTATTAACCCGCTAGGCCACCAAGACTGAGGCCCTTCAATCAATAAAACATTAGATTACAAATCTCACCTATGCCGCGTGTCAATTTCGTGCTCGTAGAGGCCGTCTTTCGTAGGCATTTCCGGATCGACAGGGTCTCCATACAGTGTAGACGTGGGCTAAAAGAACATTGACATAATTAGATAAATATGTTATAAAATAGATAGCAATCATAATAAAAAACACAAAACAATATTTTAACCAGCAATAACAATTAAACAAAATAGTATATATGGTAGTATAGAATAGAATAGAAAATCCTTTATTCAAATAAACTTAATTTAAGCACTTTTTAATAGTAGTAACATTTTTTTAATCTTACCGCTCATTCGGAAATCTATCTCATTACAAGAAAAAATGCGAGAAACTTGTGTGTTGCTCTTTTAAATTTTTAAACCGATACGAGAGCGGCATGACCTACCACAGGCTCGACAAGAGAAATTATTATGGCGCTTCCATCTCTTGTCAGCAAGTCTTTGATGCCATGCATCATCGCAAACTTTTCGACCCTCCATTACACGGTGTATTGTCTTATATTCAGTCAATATATAAATTAAAATGAATAAATACTGACCATCTCGTAGAAACAGCCGGGTTTGCGTCTGAACGCGAAAGGTCCGTCGTCTGGAGGACTGGCGGTCGCCTCTCGCGGTACACTCTCTTCCTCCGACGACGTGTAAACGCCCGACTCTGAAATCGTCATCACAACATACATATTAGACACGTGTCGATGAAATAATAAAAAAACCTACCCTAACCCTAATAACCTCATAATAATAATCATTTAATAATTAAAAATATGTCGTAATGATAAAAAAAAATCAAAATAGTTATAAGAGATAATCTATAGCGTTATCTAATAAAACATCTAGACCAGACCACAAATTCATATACAAAAATTTTGCACCGTATGTGGAATTGAATCGGTGGCCATCCGTTGGCCAAGCTGGAAAGCGGCGTTCTCAACCGCTAGACCACCGACGCGTGAGAGGTACCATGGACGACTAATGTTGTCCGTGGTACTATTCATAGATATAGCTTTTTTTCGGACTACTCTAATGCTGTTGGCTGCAGCTGGCCTTTACAGCTTCACCGGACGATGGGGGGCGAATGCAGATGGCACTCCAAACCAAAGGAAGGACTTAGACTTATGGAACGGTTGAAGGGCCAACTTTTTCAGGCGCGCCTTACGGATACGACTTTAGTCTGGCCGCTAGGGGATTCGAATCTCGACTCAGGAATTTCGATCTCCATTTGATAGATCGGAGAGGCCGTCTAGACCAGTTCACACATTCATATTACAAATTTTCGCACCGTCTGTAGAACTGAACCAATTTAAAGCGGCGTGCTACACCGGTAGACCACCGATGCGTGAGAGATACCATAGACGTCATACGATAATGTCCGTGGAATTTATTCATGTACTTAGAGACGGGTTCCACTTTCCATCGATATCAAAAATATCTTTATTACAGACTGTTATAATGTGTGGAATCATCCATTAAAACATCAGGTGTGAGAAATGTGAAACAAAAGTGAGCTTGTTTGTCATTTCCATACATAAAAAATATATATAATTATTATTTATATAAATACATAGTTGAAGTAATTGACTAATACAAACAGTCATGAATACAAAATATTCGGAACCCACGATGACGAAAAAATTTATATAATGTATGTATACATATAAATTTATATGTGTATATATCATTTCATCAGTAATAAAATAATAGTATGTCATTAACAAATATATATAATATATAAACTTTAAATAAATTTAAAACATCTATTAAGTCATATTTATTGAAAAAGCCTATTACTCCCTAAACGATTACTTAAATGACAAGCGTGCATGGCAATAGTTGTTCATGCACGGGATTTTCGTTTAATGTTAGATATAGACACCTACATAAGAGTACCATGTAAATAAACTAGCTTTAAAAAAAAAATCAGTTGAGATTCCTACCAGTTCTTCTCAATTGAATCTGTATACTGAACCGGGCGGTAGAAAAAAAATATGTCCTACTTGAATAAACAATTTTTGATTTGATTTGAATAATTATTAACAACAAATTTTCCGTATCCTAAGGTAACAGATACAAAATAAAAAACTAAATATATTTTTTGAAATATTGACTGTTATTAAACTACTCATAACAGCAGATAGCGTTTACAGTTGAACCGGACGAATACAGGGATGAGTGCAAATGGCACTCCAAAAGGAAGTACTTATGGAGCTTAGGGCCAACTCCTGCGTGACGGTTACGAGTTTATTCTGAGGACGTTGTTAAGGACGAGAACGTCTAACTGGACGAAAAATAAAACCGAAGGGCACTTCAAATCCGAGTAAGGACTTATGGAGCGGCTGAAGGTTATTCTGAGGATGCTGTTTCGGGTCTGACCGGACGAAAATGGGATTAAGACCGAAGGGCACTCCAAACCCGAGTAATGACTTATGGAGCGGCTGAAGGCCAACTCTCGCCTGACGGATACAATTTATTCTAAGGACTCTGTTAAGGATTGGAATCTCGGTTCGAGCCGTCGTATTTTAAATCCAACAGGGATTTGATAGGAATAGGACGAGGTTCGATTGGATGAACACGTAAAATTTATTATCTACTTATGAACTTCATATAGTTTTAATCTACCCAAGTGTTTATTGCGACCTATATATAGCTTTGTCAGTAAGGATATAATTTATTTTTAACATTAAGCATCTTTACTGAATAATAAGAATAATATTGAAGTATAGTTTAGTATGTTTTATATAAATGTCTTCGCTACAACAAAAAAAAGTGTAAAAAACTAAAGACTTCGAGTGAAGATGGAGCTGTTTTAGGTTAACTGGGAAAGTCGTGGATTTTTTCCCCGTACAATATATATAAACATATATATTAAGTGCATCAATTTTATAAACCGTTTGAGCATACGCGACCGTGCTGTAACAATCGGCACTCACCTCGCAGCTGCACCGAGCCGGCGGCCGGATGCCTGTGTTTCGGCCGTTTCTTGTACGGTCGCTTCTCTCGCTGTAAGGCAAACACCTCGATAATACTCTCTCAAACGGCAATTTGGAAACAATATTATATATATTATGCACATTGTGACACGGCCCGTGTTTTCGGTTTGCTCAAAACTAAACAAATTTTACGTCGCAATTTTTTGTTATTTCGTATTGCGTTGATAAAAAAAATTAAAAATAAACAATGTTTCTTAATTCTATTAAGACATCTAAACAGACTTCAAAATGGTTCAATCAATACTGAAGTACTATATCAATCCCCTGGTGGTACATCTAAGGTGACAGTCACAGGTGAAAATAAATACTTATGTTACAAGTATATACTTGCACCATACTGTCATTGTTATACCATATCATATGAATATATCCATTAAATTCTTCTTATATCGTCGTTTCGCACTTTAAATTGTATATAAAATACAATCTTTATCTCCCATAGTCCGTAACATTCGTAACTTTATCGTGACAAGTAAAACACCCCAAAATATAACAAATATTTTGTAAATTCATGTTTTACAAACACTTATTTATTACGAGGCGCACAGTAACACATATGTTACGATTTGAAGAAGAGAAACTACTTAATGTATTATACACATACAGTGTAACAAGTGTCTTGTAAATTTATGATTCAAACATATTTTTTACGAATTTCTATCAATATTGCTTGAATAAAATAACACCAACAACCTAACGTACCAAGTATACTGCTTATTCCCCTGACATAAATGTGTACTGTACATTCCCCTGGCGTACAAAATGCTGTACATTCCCCTGTTCTCACCTGTCGCGGCACGGCATGCGCGTCGTGTGCGGAGTGCGCGTGTGTGGCGGCCGAGTGAGCGTGCGTGGGCGTTGAACGCGCCGTGTATAGCGGCTCGTAGTGTCGACAGCTTGCGGCCAGGCGACCGGCAGACAACGGCACACTCGTGTACGACGCCCTGACGTAAACACACACATTTTAATGAATATACCGTCAATACTGTTACACTGGAAGGGGTAGTCGGATGCATTATCAATTATCCACGTGGTACGCTTGACATGTCCAGATTTCGTATGGTTAATTTGTAATCCTGTAATATCACTGCTTGCATCATACAACTGAAACATCTTACAAAGCAGTATCTCAAGTACTTCAGCTGCTTGCCTGCTGAAATAGGTGAGACTGAGATCGTGTAACATGTGTCATGTGTCAACATTGTGCAAAGACTAGAGTTACGGTAAATTATTGTTTAATATTATTATTATATTAATATTTGATGCAACGAAAAAAAGTGGACAAAAAGTGCAGAATGCTAACATTACGCGGTTAACTCTGGAAACTATCATGGTAAATTGCCATTGCCTAGTGCCCCGACAAGAATTCGACTTATGTTGTAAATCGAATATCTTTCATAAAGAAGTTATACATAGTCTTTGCATTTCGTTTCTTGCCGACCCCTAATATATTTTTTTTATAGTTCTGTATTATGTATTAGTTGGTGAACAGTACCTGGGTGTAGGCTCTGGTGGTAACAGTTGGTTGGCGAAGTCGCCGGCGGCGTACCGGCGGTCGGCGAGCTGAGCGGTCAGCGCGACCAACTCACGCTTGGCCACCTCCCGCCGCGCCACGAACTCCAGCAGGGTCAACGCCCGCACCAGATCACGACGGAGTTTGAGCATCTTCTCGTATGATGTTTCATCGTTTTTCCTTAAAAATAAAACAGATATATACAATTAAATAAAGTCTAATTAGGGCCATTCATAAATAGAAATATTCAAATTTGAACCATTTTCGATAACAATTCAAATTAGGTATTTTTATACTAGAGCAACATACAAGTTTCTTGCTTATTCTTCTTGCGATGAATCTGCTTTCCGAATAAGCGGTAGAATCAAAAAACTTGACTATTCAAAAGTGCTTATATTAAGTTTATTTAAATAAAGTAAGAATCAAATGAATAATTATTTTTAACCTAAGGTTAAGCGACGAACGTCAAGTTTTTGTGTAAATTTTTTTCAATACCATCCGAAAGAAAGAAAAGAAATTTATTGTTAATGAATAACATGAAATATATGTATAAAATCAAATAACGTATAAATGTATGTATATTGTAAAAAGTCATGTCATATCACAGAATGTTGTATTCTTCCCATTCCCATGTGACATAATGTCACACTGTCGACACCCCTAAACATTATAGCCAATATGTCGGATTGTCCACTCCAGAAGCACTGGACATCATTGCATCGGACCCAGCGCATCTGGACGTAGACATAGATATATGAATTGAGAGCATATATGTAAATATTATAATTTACTAACATAGTTTATTATATGTCGTTTAATAACCTAAACAGGATGGATATCTGAAATAACTGAATAAATAAAAATTAGATACTAGATATTGTTATATAACCATAGAACAAAATTGAATAATTATGAAACCGAGACTTGGTTACTATACAGAACTACTCAAGTGTGTTCAAATTTGACCGACAACAAAAAAAGGGTTTCAATTTATATTTCTAATTAACTTTCAGGTGAAGGAAACACCAATATCAAACTAAAATGCCTAATTATGGTTACCATAGGAAAGAAATTTAATGATGAAATCCTAACTTTGTTATTACGTGAAGTGTGTTCAAATCTGACCGAAACCAGAAAAAAAAGTATCAATTTATATTTTTAATTAACCCTCAAAAACAAACTAAAAATTAAACTAATAGACGACGGTATTACAACAGTTCAACCTAAAGTTTGTAAGAGACTACACTAGATGGCGCCACACGCCGAATTAGAACAGGCTATAATTTCATTCTGCGAATTGTATTAGTAGTGAGCAGAACAATTTGTACGTCAGAATCAAAATCAAAAACTGAATCATGTAACATATAATTCATAGATTTTTTGTATCACTATACCTACCTGGCTGGTAGGTAAGTGACATTCCAAATAAAAAGTAAATATGTACTTCCGACGGCCTCGGTGGTATAGCGATTTAGCACACCGCACAGTGGGAACCCGCCTAAGAAAGCCATCTCATAAATACTTTTTCTAAAACTCCGTGGATGTAGTTGTATAATACCTCAACTTGTAGCCAAAGAGTTACTCTATCGTTATAAATATGATTCAAATCTCTGACTATTCATTCTTCTTAGAATAGAGCCTCTAAAGTCAAACGGATATGAAAAAAATACAAAAATAATTTTGTAACTTAAATTTGTTTGGTATAAATTTATAGTATCAAAACAATATCAAGTCATATAGTGTGATACCATTTTAGAATGCTTAGAATGTGTACTTTACTATAAAATAAAAATATATCTAGTTTAGTCGAATATTATTTAACTAAAAATCCATATATCGTTATATGTACTATTTTCTTTTCTCAGACTTTCACTTGGAGATTTGACAGTTGCCGAAGCTTGCCGAAGTTCTAAATTTGGTTTAATTTATTAGGAAATATAATTTAATTTCATGGCATAATATTTTTTTTTGCAGTTTCACTGCGTAAAATATTTAAATCGAGTATAATATCATGGTGAGATTTGTTTTTTCTAAGTACGTATATTAAGATTTTCTTCTTTATTTGAGATTCTCTGTCTGAATACTCATAAAAATACTTTTTGCTCAATTATTACTTTATATTTTATCTTTTGCCTTACTTTTATCAACTATTTCACACAGTATTTAGTTCCCATTCCCATACAGACCTATTCTATACCGCATAATGATAAATATTTTTTATCAAGTAATTTTGCACACGTATATGATCATTATTAAGTTTAAAATAGTGTATGTATTTGCATATGAAATAATACAGTTCTTCATAAGCATTTGTCATTAATAAACAATTGTTAATTACTCATCTCGCCCCAATGAGTGAATTCTCGTGTAACAGACGCGACTTAAGTCTCTTATTGATTTAAATAGTGATACAAATTATCTTGATTCTAAAATCTCAAACTATATACGAAATAATTTTTCAAGTCGAATCTTCAGATGCCAATATAGCAAAAATTATCGCAAGTATTCAGAAGTCCTTCATAACTCAGTTTCGTCAACACTATACGCATTTCGTATAGTGTCGAAAGAAATAGAACAGTTTTTAAATAAAATAGCAATTGATAGGATGGTATTTTCACTGTAAATCTAAAAAAAATAAGCTACATTTTATAAGAACCTGATTTATATCCTACTTCGACAGAGAAAAGTCAGTCAAGACCTTCTAAAACGTACGAAGACAGTTCGGGCAAAGAAACGGAAAAACAAGGGAATGTGTTCATCCATCGTGGACTTCATACTGAACTCATATGTACAGGGTTTAAGGGTTTCATCGTTGATATTTTACGAGCATTTTTTTAGCCTACAGATGGTGAAAACTAGAATGAAATGAGCAATCTTAATGAGTAATCTTATTAATGAACCGGCACATATAACAGCATATTCAAAACATTTAGCTCTTAACATTTTCATAAAATTGCTTCTGAACAAGGCACAGTATAAAAATATGAGGAGTTGTTTGATAGCATCACTAGTGACGGAAAGTCAGAAGATTTTTCCATGGCAATTATCATTGTACATTAAAAATCACTGGTCAAATAGATGAGGAATTAATAATTAACATATTATATGTTACTGTGAATATAAATATATAACGTGTGATACGTCACTATATATATTTCTTGCCTCTCGGGCAAAAAATTTCAGAAAGATGCTCAATAAATCACGGTACAAAAATAAACATACATCGCTTATTTCATCATGCAAGACAATGTTCAGAGAAATAGCCACTAACGAAGATATTCTCCTGAATAGCAATAGACGCATTTTTATGATGTCCATATAAACGACCCATACAGCTAACAAGTTTAGAAAACCTTCCAATAAAAAATATTTAACAAATACTTTTTGATGAAGCAAAGGAGCTTTTGAGTGACTTGTAAACCATCTTTATAAGAATTTTTGTTTTTTACGTAGATACTTTTACTTATTTCTGTATAAACTTATTATGACATAAATGTAAGTATACAAATTCTATATTTCTTGTATTCCTACATTATTTATAACTATTAGAAATATTTTTTTACTCATAAAGCATACATTATTTAAAAGTATATATATTTAAGATTATCAGAAAAAAAAATCATGTACATATCTTTATTAATACAGAAGTTATAGATTTATGAGATGAAAATGAGTCAAAGTTCCCAAAAAAGTGCACCGCTTTAATTCCGATGGTCACGTGTTCGATTCCTCGCACGGTACAAACTTGTTCGACGTTTTACTTGTTTGGTATATAGTTTAATATGAATACCTGTTCTTTCTGGTCTGCATTTTCTCAGTCCGCCGCCTGAACGCGAGGTACGGGTTGTTGGACGACTGCCCTGGTCTGCTCTCCGTCTTCACCGTCAATATCAAGGGGTGTTGCTGAAAATTCAAACGGATATATTAGGTAATTATTGTTGATAATAAAAATGAAATATTGTGATGTATTAGATTGTAGTAAACAAGCCGTATACATTCAAATGTGCTTACATTTGCCTCTCTATAAGACCACCAACTAATAAATATTAAAAAAATACTGTTGTGGAGTTTCTTGAACTTAGTAATCACCACGCGGACGATTGTTATATGCCACAATTTAATACAAATAAAATAATAAACTAGTAACAAAATAATAGTGTGTGTACACCTTACAATTATAAATCTAGGTCGCACAGTCAGCTACCAATTCATCAACGTGCAAATTTCGCTGACGATGCAACAACTACATTTGAAATGTATAATTTAATATTAGATTTGTAAGAACCGACCTTATATCACGTAGCTGCCCAAGGTATACATTTTTTAATAAAAAAAAATTGCGCAGGGAACCTATAATATGCTCCTAACGCACGGACAGCGGAAAAGGCTGGAGTCGAAAATGATTGTAAATAATAAAAGGAACCGAGGGGTGACCTGTGGCTAGGGATGAGCGGCATTCATTAGCCTCTGGGTTTCAGATGTGTCGTCTGAGTGTCCAGGGCTTTGCAGTGCTTCTTCACGACCAAAGTAGTCTCCCGTTCACTCAGTGGGAAGTGGACTGTATGGTGTTTTCCCAGTAGGGATGGGTACGGACCAACTTCGAAATTGTATATCACACAGTAAAGATGGGTGGGTGGTAGCCTAGCGTGGGCATGTATAAGCGGGAAATATGTCCGAAGAGTATAACCTTAAATGCCATTACCATGCAATGAACCGACCAAACCAAAGCAACGGTAGGCGGTCCACTCCACGAGTGTACCAGAATGGCAGCCAGTAGAGACAAATTGCGAATTATCGTACGGAAGACATCAACCTCATAATCCACTACATAAAGACTACGACCGTTCTGTCAAGAACATATCGAATGAGCAGAAGATAATAAGATCATAAATTGATGACGGGTCCATCCCGGCTGTTATAATTGGGTAGTTTCTACAAACATCCGTGAGTCACGTACCGTGGTTAGCCGTTTGTTGAGCCAGTAGTCGTACACGGCGGTCACGAGGTCATCGTGCCTCTCCAACAGTAGCTTAGCCTCGCTGAGTGTCACCACTGTCTGGCCAGAGCTCTTTTCGAGTTTGTCCATCATTTGCTCGAACTTCAGCTCTGAAACGTATAGGATATAATGTTAAAGTCTCATGTCACCGTGCTTGTAATAAAATTCCTCCGAAATAGCTTGACTTATGAGCTGAGCTTATCTTAAGTGTATATTCAAGTCTGAGAATACACTTAAGATGGACGTAAACTATTTTTCAGGAAGAGTTTACGTTGTAACCTGTTTACGAATTAAACGGTGAGATATGGCAGTAAAATTACAGGATTCGGAGACATAACACCTTATCTATCTGAGACGGTAAACGCATGAACCTGGATGTATATAGTTCATTAATATTATATGTGTATAGTGGAAAATTTTCCATTACGTGGGCCGTATTCATATACCGTATTCTAACTTCACGCCAGGTCTTATTACTACACCTATTCAGTTTTAAAAATTGATTAAAAATAATAAGCTATGCCGACCCATTTTATAAGGGAATTACTTTGTTCTTATTTATATGATAATATCCTGTACTAAACAAGTCAGTCAACTGGATGCACATGTTTCAAAAATAACCCAGTCGAAAATTGGGTACAATTTAATCGGACCCCATTAGTGCAAGCAATGTGTTCATCCATCGAACGGTGGTACCGTTTCGTTCGTTTGTTTCTGGAACAATTCACTCTACCTACCTTTCTTCCAGATATTTTCAATAAAACACCCCTGACATTATAATTCGAGGGTTTAATGGTCTAGTTTTTTTAGACTACAGATGGTGACAAGCAAGCGCACGGCCCATTTGATGGTAAATGGTTACCTTAGTCATTTAATATCTCGACTTACTACCTACATTTCGAATCTACACAACACCAAAAATATATTTCTACAATACAATTTTTATTTCTATTAACTGTAGTCCCCAAACTAGGTCAGCCCTATATCTTGGGGGCTGGGAGCGCGGATACCAAAAATATGCAGTATGTGCACACCACAGTGACTAATTTACAATTAGATTAATTTATTTATGGCGAACTATTTTATAATTAGAGTACTAAATAATTCAAATACTAGACTCAGTGGTTCAAAGAGATTATTACTATATTATAATCGTTATGTTGGGTGAATATAAATATATATACGTATATGTATTATATATATTTATTAATTTACTTTAATGACCAAAAAAAAAATGGTTGTAAATGGATTACACTTAAATCCTAGATTCGAAAAGTGTAGAGATACACGATTTCGGTTTAGCAATAAATGTAGTCTTGTAAAAAAAATCTGTTTCATCATATATCGCTTATTTCAGCCGCCGGGTTATTTCAAGCCGCGGTTCAAAGTTATTACAGATCCGATATATAGCAGTGAAATTACAGAGTAACAATTGACAACTATCAAAGTCATGACGCAACCTGATGTCCATATAAACGACGATGACAGCTCACCATCAGGTGGGCCGTTAGATTGCCTTCCAAATACATAAAAAGGTATAACAAATTGCAGTGTACCTGTCAGATCAAGGTGCCTCTGCTGCTTCAGCCACCGTTCATCCTCCGAGTCGATGTCGTATTCCGGCGCCTCCTGCTCTTCCCATAACGCTGAAATAGAGAAATTGCACTTTATTACTTTATAATAAACACTTATTTGGAAAGGATAAACGAAAGAAATTATAATAATACAGAAAAAAAAATTCAGTTGTATTTTTTGCCCGTTCTTCTCAACTCAAATACCAGCCAAACTGGACGATAAGGATAGTAATAAAAATATTATTTTCATGCATAAGAGGCACCAAACTTGTTGTATAAATAAATTATTTTGATGTCTAGTTTAAAAGAGATACGTAGAGCAAGAATTTAAATGCCGTTAAAGGGCGCCGTATACGGTCGTACATCGACCAGATAAGCGACGTAATAAAAAAAGGGTCTAATAAAAAATACACGTAATCGACAAATTTGTATCAATACAAATATTATAAATGCGAAAATGTGTCAGTCTGTCTGTTTGTTATCATTTTAAAACTAAACCGCTGAAAGGTTCTTCATTAAATTTGATATGTGGTCGAAGCGGGAGCGAGAGGTATTCCAGTGAAATTCCTCTACAATCTTCCAAAAGATCTTGGCCTGTCTAGAACTGCAGTAAATTCTATACTAGAACATGTCTAAAGCTGCACTAGCAGGCTCCTACCAGGTTTAGTACGGATTGAGAGAAATACGAGCAGTGAAGGTGTGTGTTGCGTGCAGTGAACTTATGTTATAAGGGCTGACCCTTAAATATATTCATCAGGGTCATAAGTGCCGTGAAATTGCATCAGATATATTTCTCTAAATCACGATGGATCCCGGTTCCGACATGGACCCAATCCATTGTTAAAACCAATAAAAGAAGTTCGAACTTAAATAATGAGGACGTACATGACTATTATTTTATTTCTATAAATTACCAAGGCTGACAAAAAAGAGCTTTTAGCTTCGGCTACAATCGATATGCTATAATTGGTTTTTAGCAAATATTTTGTTGTAACATTGGTTTCTTTGTTAAAATGTTGGTTTTGACATGTGTAATATATAAATGTAAGTGTGTGTAATATGTATACAAAAATTAATTCAATTTATAAAAGTAATAACGTAATTTTGCTATTTGAATACATTGAACGAATATTCATATTGTAAGACCTACTTGTAACATTGTATTCTGCAAATAAATAAAATAAAAATAAATAAAATAAAAATTATGATTTATCTCAAAAATGGGGAAGAACTCAAGTATCGAATACTCATACTATAATAATCTTTTATACAAAACATCGCGTCACAATATTAGTTAACATACTCCTGTGAAACAGCTTGACCGATTTTTATGAATTTTTATACGCATATACAGTAGATCTGCGAATCGGTTACTATCTATTTTTCATACCCGAAAGTAATAAGGGTTGTTCATCCCTAACATTTTTACTTTATTTTTGGACAAATTTGTTTTTTTTTATAACTTGGCATTAAAAAATACATATAATCTTAAATATTCACCCTTCTATCTTCAACCCTTATTTTTAGCGATATGCCAAAACAACGTTTGCGGTTTCCGCCGTCTAGTATAATATAATAATAATAATCTCAGGACTATTCACACAGCGCCATCCAGACCCAAGTTAAGCTAGCTAAAGCTTGTGTTATGGGTACTAGATAACTGATACATATACATAGATATTTTTTTGTAAATACATACAAATTATACATAGAAAACACCCAGACCGATACAAACAATCATACACATGAATACAAATGTTTGTGCCGTGCGAGGAATCGAACCCGCGACCATCGGTCGTAAAGCGGTGTGCTAGACCACTAAACCACCGAGGTCGTCGTAATATATAATACTCGACTACTTTTTAACATACTTTATATATTTCATGATGTACATAGTATATGTATACTATATACTTGAAAGACACGCTTGTTAATTAAGATGTTTTCCTGTTGTTTGGGTCGCGTGCGATATATATAGACACTCGACAGCACATACAACTTAACAAGGCAAATGGTAAATTAAATGTATTAGTTTATACAGAACGTTAGCTATAGTTTTACGCCGTCCCTCCGATCGATCCCCGTCCATTTCAAACGGGGATCGAAATTACGATGGCCTGAGTCGAGGTTCGAACTCCTAGCGGTGCGCTCAGACTGAAGTCGTTTCCATCAGATAGGAGTTGGCCTTCACCCGTTATATAAGTCCATCCTTTGGTCCAGTGCAAGCAACGGAAGCCTTCCTATATGAATAATTTTCCCCGTTTTTGCAACATTTTTCACTGATGCTTCGCTTCTACTGGTAGCTGGTAGCGTAGTTCTAGCGTAATATTATATAGCTTGAAGTCATCCTCGACAAATGGACTAACCAACACAAAAATAATTTTTCAATTCGAACAAGTAGTTCCTGAGATTAGCGCGTTCAAAAAAAACAAAGAAACTCTTCAGTTTTATAATATTAATAATATAGTATAGATATATACAATATTAGTATAGCTATACGGGTTAGGTCTCGACTTGATATTGAAAAAAAATCTGTCCAAAACGCGAAAGTTTAAAAGGGATGCGACGTGGTGTCACCCTAATACCCATATTAAAAGCCTATTTAATCCATCCCCTTCAGCCACGCTGACATTTCATTAATCTAATGTTTAGATTAATGAAATGTCTAACCTATGAAGAAAATTCTATAACCGTTAAGTCTTGTAAATACATGAAATATATATAGTTTATATACTGTTTTAAATTTGACGTGGTCATTATTTATATATAAAAATCACGGGCTATTGATTTGTGAGTATGAATGTATGTTATTCTATCACGCAAAAACTACAGAACGGATTTTGATGAGACTTTTCAGTAATATAGATTATGTACCAGAATAACACATAGGCTATATTTTGTATTGAAATTTAATGCGGATGAAGATGCAAGCACAGCTAGTAATAATATTATAAACGCGAAAGTTTGTAAGCATGGATGTTTGTTACTCGTTCACGCAAAAACTACTAAACGGATTTTGATGAAACTTCACAGTAATATAGCTTATACATCAGAATAACATATAGGCTATTAATTTCATGCGGGTGAAACCGTGGGCTATCAGCATTATAATATTAGTATAGATTTTTCCGGAATACTCTAATGCTGTTGGCAGCATCTGGCCATCAGAATAACACATAGACACACTATACACATTATGCACACACTATATTTTTATTGAAATTTAAAGCAGGTGAAACCGCAGGCACAGCTAATATATAAATAAATAGACCACATTTTAGATCTATAGAGTGGAAACTACACCTATATATTCAAACACGCGAAGTTATATTGGGTTTCACGCAATAACTTCGAGAGCTCTCCAGGCACCAACTTCTAATGCGGACCGACGGAGTTTGCTATCTGAGATCGATTTGCAACTTCAATTCAAGATTGCAATCATTTGAATATGTCAGTTTATATAAACTTACGTACTACGAAATATTAGAATAGAATAGAAAATCGTTTATTCAAGCACAGATAACATAATATTTGATTCAAGTAAACTTAATTTAAGCACTTTTGAATAGTCATTACGTTTTTTTAATCTACAGCTATTTCGAAAACCTGTCTCATCACAAGAAAAACGAGCAAGAAATATACACAACAAAATTAAAACAGTCGTAGTGATTAGAGCAGGCCAGTCCCTACAAGCGGCACTCTTTCACTAGTATGACGTATGAGCCAGCCATCACTGCACTCGACCATATTTTAAGGGCGGCTAAAGACCCGGTATATTGATTTATGAGTAAGTGTCAGTCGATTTTTTTGTCTTTATACTTCGATGGTATCGTAACAAATTCAAATTCAAAAATCATTAATTCATATAGGACATTTTAGCCGCTTACCATATTATTTTTTTTCTCTAGGTTCGGTATATAGATCCAATAAAGAACTGACAAGAAACTCAATATATTTTTTTAATCCAGATTTACAATGCATAGGTATTTATATAGTCTATGTCTAACATTAGATGAAAATCCCGAACATGAAAACTATTACTCGTCATTCAAGATCGTTTAGTGATAATAGGCGTAACAAGTTTTGAATTTATTTAAGGGTAATTGATACGGTATACGGTATACAAGCATACGATACATCTGATGGTAAATGGTTACCGAACACTATGGCCGCCTGATACACTAGGGGTGTCATGTGCGCGTTGCCCAACCTAAAGAAACCTTAATATACCCTTCTTGAAAAACTCCATGCTAAAGTCTTATCTTTATTCACCTACAGTTGCTCATGACTTCGTCTGTTTTTACTTAATAGATAGCCTATCCTCGTAATACAATCTGTCTTCGTGTCAAACATGTAGATGCGTTCAGACATTTAGTCGTTAAAAAGTTAACAAAAAGGTAAAGGTAAAGCTAATTATATTAATACGAAAATTTATAAACTTAGTATGTTCTTTAGCAGTATAAATCCACGAAACAAAAAATAATAACAGCCAGGGTTAGCATATATTATTGTGCACGACTGTACCAACTCAACAAATTATTCTTTATTGTACTCTCGAAAACAAATGATGCAACCAGTAAATAAAACAATCCCATTACTAACAAAGTAAAGACTAGAATAGTAAGCATTCCGCGCACATGTGATTTGAGAAACTCGGACATGAACCGACGATAAATCTCAAGATATCAGAGCGCAGACTTTATAATTAAATAACTAATCTAATACCTGTCTATTTATTACCTTTTCACCACAAAACGGATCTAAACGAAATTTTATATTAAGATAGATATCATAGAATATAAAAATATTAACACAAAAACTTGACTTGCATAATGTGAATGATGTACACGAATAAAAAAATCTTCATTTGATGCTATTACGAGAAAAACTATATCGTATGTATCTTTTTACCTAAAAAAATATCTACTAATCTAGAGGGATGACTGTATGTATAAAAATGTTATATATAGTATATTTGTATATTCGAAACAAACTAAAAAATACTTTAATAAATTTAAAAACTCTTACACTTATAGAAACATACACATTAACTGCGTCACATGGGAATCTGT